GTGCTCCCAAGCCAACTCTTAACCAACGAGCCACTTGGCCGGCCCGCAACAACTCTTTCTTCAGCTCTATCTTTTCTATTTAACTTGTCAGTTGAGTTTGTTTTTCAGTTAAAACATTTTGTTTTGAGAAACTTTTAGCCTTACAGAAAGGTGCAAAAAGGGTTTATGTGGAAAGTACTGCCTTCTCCCAATTACACAATCTTACAGCGACCCAAACTGGGAAATTAACATCAATGCAACACTCTTACTAGCCTATAGACTGTGTTCAACTTTGGCCTGTCCCATTCGAGTCCCTGTTCTGGTCTGTGGTCCCATGTCTCCTTGGTCTCCTCCAACCCTGACTTCAGTGACCTGCACTCTTTTGGATTTGTCTGACATGTCTCATGATCAGATTGGCGGTCATGCCTCTGTGGCAGGAAAACTGCAGCGGTGACGAGCTCTTCCCAGTGCATCGGATCAGGGAGAACATGATGTCTGTCCCATGTCCTTTGATCTCTTGGTTAAGGTTCCATGGGGCCAGGGGACCTGCTAGGCTCAGTCACATGGTTGTTGTCATTCATTACTCGGTTCCTTGTTGGTGTCAGTGGAAGGCATCCGTTCCTCAGTCCCTTACCTGACGTGGGCCTCTCTACAGGGCCACTCACAACCTGGCATCTGGCGTTCATCAGTGTGAGGGGCCAGGGCACCAGCACCCAAGAAACAGGCAAGTCTTTCTGTAACCTCATCTCAGAAGTGGCCACCCCCGACATCTGCTGTATGGCACCCATTAGAAGCCAGTCCCAGGGTCCAGCCCACCCTAAGTGGAGGGAATTACAGAGGTCGTGACCTCCTGGAGGCAGGATCATGGTGTTATCTTAGAGGATGTCAACCACAGCCACTGAACCACATTAAGAGTCAGGGGAATGAAAAGTAAACCACAGTGAGATGACATTTTACACCTCCCGCAGTGGCAAAAACTGGAGGTCTGACAGTGCCAAGGGCAGTTGGATAGCTCTGGATACATGGCTAGTGGGAGTGTGCACCGTAAAAGCACTTTGGAATATAACTTGGCTTGATCTTGGAAATGTGAAAATGAATCAAAGAAAACCTCATTCAAATGGAGCCGGAAAGCCTGAAGGGGGCGCTCTCACACACGCACCACCCTCCCAGCTCACTTTACACACCCCAGCAGCGACAGGTTTTCTCCTCACCCAGCAACAACACAGCCAATGAGAAGCCACAGCTGCTCAGCTTAAGAAAAGCATTACAGGGCCGGCAGAGTGGCGCGATGGTTAAGAACTGGCTTGGGACGCCAGGGGACTCCGGTTCGGATCCCACATATGAGGGCCAGTGACACTGCCCTCTACAGCTAAGATGCTGAACAACAGCTCAACCTGGAGCTGGGCTGCTGTGAGTCGCCAGCATAGGCTGCAGCCCCTGTGGCAGTGGGTTGCCATGGGCTACCGTGTGTAGCCAGCAGCCAGCGTGAGCGGCCAGCAGCCGCAGTGAGGGGCCATCCAGAAGCCGGCGACTGATCTGCCTCGCTTAGGAAGAGCGCAATGATGGTGCCAACTTGGGCCAGTGAAGCAACGTCCTCCACAACTAGATTGAAGAACAAAACGAAAGCAACTTGTCTGTTCCCCTTCCCCCAACTCCCCAACACTGTTCCCATCCCCCCAATTCCCCAATAAAAAAATCTTTAAAAAAGAAAAAAAAGAAAAGCATTACAATCCCAAACTCTTGCCCTCCTCCAATGACGTTTCATTCAAAATAGCCACTCCCAACGTCCTCCTTTCCTCTATATCAGGACTCCTTCCCATGGTCGGTCCCGCTTACCTGTGGTTCACCATCGCCTGCATGTCCTCAATTGCAATTCCTCTGCTATTCCCAAATAAACTCATTTTGCTGGTAAAATAACTGGCTTTTTCATTTTTAAGGTTGACAAAAGGTAAACATCTGTATACCCTTTCAAAACCAGCAATTCCATCCTAGAGGATTTCCCCCAGAAAGTCCTGCTCGCATGCACTGAAGACGAACGCTGCAATGTCTGAAGAACTGATCATCACAACTGGGGAGACTCAGCCATCTCCCGACAGGACCGAGAGCACATAAACTGTGGGATTTTCTCATGACGCAACACTGGACAGCAATAAAAATAAATAACAGGAATACACAGAGCTGAGTGACGCACAGGTCTCTTCAACATGGATGGTGATCCAATGAAATCAATGTTTATCATCGGTAATTAGCCTGGAGCTTAAATCGTGAACAGAACACCCACTCTGGGATGCAGTGAAGACCCTTAGAGGCTGTGCCGGGCATCACATGTGAAAGCTGGGAGGAGCTGAGGGTCAGCTGGTCCTGAGCTCAGAGGGTCCTACTCACCGAGGTCCTGGCCAGGATCACAGCTGCCTTCCGGCTCCTTCCACAGCCAGTTCTCTCTCAGCCCACATGATTCAAGTTGTTTTCAAGAAGCAATTCTTGTCCTGTAAAAGACCGAAGGTCAGCGGCACTAATCTGACAGGGAAACACTGACTTGAAGAGCCAACAGCCAACCTTACCTGAGTCTCTGCCTGGAAACAGGGTGGGGCGGGCTAGATATGGGACACGGGTACACTGGCTACCCCCCAGGTCACTGGTGAGAAAAGTCTGAATTTCCTCTCTCTTGGATGATGGCACCAACAAAAACTAAACTGTCACCTTTGTGGCCCAGCATGGAGCGGGTAATGAGCCGCCTTTGATAGGCCGGGGGCTGGCTCTTAACATTTCTCCTGCCTGCAGCAATCAGAATCTAAGACCAACAGGAAACCATCTACTGAAATGTGGTGACACATAACAAATCTGTGACATCTTTACCATATTTAAGTGCTACACCGCATAACGTGGCATAAAGGGGGCCCAGCCTCCACCCAACCTTGCAGGGAGGGGCTCAGGACCAGCTGGGAAGGCGCCTAGGCTCCATCCTAAACCCCAGACAAAGCCAGCACGGCCGCTCGTGCAACCATGACTCACTCATCACTGGAGGCAAGTTCAGCTGGAGGGCAATTTCCCCCATCCAATTGTGCAGGCCCCTCTGTGCTCCGCGGGGGTTAATAACCCCTGTTCTAGGACAAGCAACTCCAGATGTCCTCAGATGCCTGGTGAGAAATCTAGGTTGCTTCAAACTATCAGCAGGCATCTTAGATAAACCGTACCGGAAGTCTAGACATTCATTAAACACTACAGTTCAGAAATCCCACCTCTGGGAATTTATCCTTAAAGAAACAATCTGACAAAGGTCCATGCTTGTACATAGGACACTCACTCAGCTTTGTTTTTAAGCCTGAGAAACTGGACAACATCCAAGAGTCCACTAAGGGGTTTGTAATCAACTCTGGCGTGGTGCCCTACAAGTTTTAACAAAAATGTATTTGTCATAGATTGAGGACAGTTACAAAACCTTGTACAATATGCTCCAATTTAAAAAGTACAAATGGTTCAGAACATGCACAAATCACCAGCTGTGGTCACTTGGGAGTGAAATCGCAGATCCATTAAAATTTGGATTTTTCATTTCCCTCCAATTTCTAATTTATCTGCACTGAAAATAGGTTTCTTTAATGTAAAAGCCTTCCAATGCCCTTAATGTCGCTTTTCATGCTGATAGTTTCACTCTGCTTTAAAACTTTACTTGCAAGTTTAAATATTTTCAGTTAAGTACATGCACTTCATTAAAAAAAAAAGTTAAAAAGCCACTAAACAGAGACTCCATCTCTAAATGGGTTTTTATTTGCCATGGCAGTAGAGAGCAATGTGTTGAAAGCCGTCAGAGCATAAGTACTGCGGGAGTATTGCCTGGACACCAAGAGGCCCAAACCCAGTACAGGAAGTCATCCATGACCAGAATGCAGCACTGCTCTGGGCCTGCCTGGGAGTTCCCCAACCCAATTCAGCAAGAAATCACAGTCCGCTAGAACTAACACTCGGTAGGAGGCAGCCATTCTTTAATTTCGTTTTATAGACTCCTGGGCAGAAAATGCAATGAATTCGTGGGCGATCATGCCCTTTGGCTTCGGAGCAGAAGGGTCTTCACCTGGTTCTTTCGTGGACGGTTGCACCAGCCCTAGAGCCATGCCCACCTGGAAGGCTCCTGGGTGCCGCGGTTTAAAACGCAATAACCCCTCCAGACTTGTGAACCGCCCCATCCCCTGGTACCGCAATCCCCAGCGCCCCCGCCCGGCCCTACCTGTATCTCCCGCACTGCGTGGACCGCAAGCCTCACAGGGAACCGAGCGCGGGGCGGGAGGCTGGCGTCACCCAACCCCGCAGCTAGCCCTCCACGTCCAGAGCCGAGGTCTCTCTCGTCCAAACGGACAAGCGCCCCGTGGCCGGGCCGTGGGCTCCGGTGGGCCCCACGCGGTCCGCGCCAGCGAGGCGGGTGCTAAAGGTAGGACGGCCACTCCACAAAGTGAAAGGTACATGACAAAGGGCGGAACCGGGAGTGATGGAGAACCAAGGGTGACCCGGCTGCAGGGTCAAGGGCCTCTCGGAGGGGACACCTCGGGACGAAAGGGTCACGGCGAGGGCAAGGGCCCTGGGGTGGGCCGGCTGGTGCGCTGGGGAGAGGACGGAGTCCGAGGAGCCGTGGCTGGAAACGGGCCAGCGCAGTGGACTCTGGTCCCGATGGCGATAGGCGACCATCGGAGGCAACCGTCATCGTTTGTTTTATTCAGCGTTTTCCGCGTGAACCGGTCACCCACCCTTACAGAAACGACCCAGGCTGTACGCCTCAGGGAAGCCAGGATGCTCCTGGACTTGGGCGCCTTCCAGGGGCCAGAGCGGCATCCCCACGCCCCGGGAGGCGCCATCACTCCCCGGAACGCGCGGCCGGGCCGGAACACCTCCGTGCCGAGGCCATGCCCTCTTGCGGGAAGATGTCCCCGCCCTGAGCGCGCGTACCACGGAGGCTTTGCTGCGGGATCACCGGGGCCCCGCCACCCACCGATCGGAGGGGCCGCGGAATGACAGCCAGTGCGAGATCTCCGTGCGCATCGCGGGGCGCCCGGGCCTCTCCCTGGGGACATCGATGGCGGCCTGGCCACTCGCTCTCGCGCACGGGGAGCCCACCCCGGGCCCTCCGCCCCGCCTGTCGGTCAGGGAAGCGGGCCGCGGGACTCCAGGGCGGGCGGTGGGGAACCCTCCTTAACCGGAGGCGCCCCCGCTACACCTCGGGCCCTTAAGGGCGCGCGGCATTTAAGGTGGGCCGGGAACAAACGGGGCTGCCGAGGCGAGCCCGGGGCGGGGATCCGCGAGGCTGTGGCGTGGAAGGGGCCGCATCGCGGACGCCACAAGGCCCACAGCCGACCCTCTGACCCGAGTGGAGCCTCGGATCGCCGCTTCCTCTGCAAGGAAGGCGGCGGGGTTGGGCGGACAGCGCCTCACCGTGGGGCGGCCAACGTCCCTCTGCCCAGCGCAGCGCGCGCCGGGGCCGGGGGCCAGGCGAGCCGCAGCCGGAAGTACTCTCATCCGGCCCGGAAGTAACGCACCGGAAGCCGACGGCGGCTCTTCACCCGCACGCGGGACCTGCTCCTCAGTGCCCTGGATACCTGGGCTTCCCGCTCACGCCGTGGAGCCAGGGACAGGGACGCGCCCCAACGGCCGCCAAAGGTCACAGTCCGGACCGTACCACTGCGGCCCAGGCGGGGGGGGGCTGCTGGGAGGCGGTGCCCCCGCGGCTGCCCATTGTCACAGTCCGGACCGTACCACTGCGGCCCAGGCGGGGGGGTGCTGCTGGGAGGCGGCGCCCCCGCGGCTGCCCATTGTCACAGTCCGGACCGTACGACTGCCCAGGCTGGGGGTGGTGCCGCTGGACAGCGTCCCCGCAGCCGCCCGTTGTCACAGTCTGGACTGTACCAACGCGGCCCATGCTGATGGGAGATGGCGCCCCACTACGGTTGTCCTCTTGGCACCCTCCATAACGTACCGCCATCCCAGATGGGGGGTCAGGCTAGCAGGCTGAAGTGCTTGCCTCTAAGCCCCTGAGCGCTGCTGAATTTTGCTTTTATGGTTTCAAGGGACAGCAAATCCAGCCCAGATAGACCTACAGTATAGTTCCCCCCTTAGCCGTGGTTTTACTTTCCACGGTTCCAGTTACCCGCAGTCAATCGCAGCTATAAAATATTTGTCGGCTGAACTACAATATCAATTAGGTATTCTGTTACCAACAAGGATTAATTCGGGGGAAAAGGAAAAAGGGCTGCAACCCAGCAGGTGCAAAACTAGCCAGCCACGTGCACATTCTGGCTTTTGTGTTAAGATGGAGGGTATTTAAGTCAGGGAGACAAGAAGTTAGAACCATAGAGTTTTATGCAAAGGAAGTTAGGACCATAGAGCTGGACTAGGTGGGCTCACGAACTTTTATGAGCTCAACTCCTCAGAAACCTCGCAGCCTGATCAGTTTCTATAAAGTCCCAGCTCATCTTTTTTTAAAATTAAAAAAAAAAAGATTTTATTGGGGAATCGGGGGAGGGGAACAGCGTTGAGGACTCCGGGAAGGGGAACAGACACGTTGCTGTCCTTTTGTTCTTCAGTCTAGTTGTGGAGGACGTCGCTTCACTGGCCCCTGTTGGTATTATCACTGTGCTCTTCCCGGGTCAGGCAGTCGCCTACCGGCCATTGGACGGCTGACTGCTCACCGCAGCTCATGACAGCTCACGAAAGTGCACGCTGGTCTGCTGCTGGCTAGCCCCACTGCAGCCTATGCCGTTGCTGGCGACTCATGGCAGCCCACCCTGCTCATCTTTAATCATATTAAACAGACTATTCCAGAAATAAGCAGTTCATAAGTTTTGAATTGCACGCTGTTCTGAGCAGCGTGATGAAATCTCCTGAGGCCCTGCTCTGTCCAGTAGGGTACATGAATTGCCCCTTTGTCTGATGTCTCCATGCTGTCCATGCTCCTCGCCCATTGGTCACTCAATAGCCGTCTGTTATCAGATCGACTGTTATCAGATTGACTGTTGGGTATCGCAGAACTTTAGGTCAAGTTGCCCTTATTTTACTTAATAATGGCCCCAAAGTGCGTGATAGTAATGCTGGTGATTCGGACACTGAGAAACTGTAACGTACTTCCTTTAAGTGACAAGTTGTGTATGTGTAGAAAAAAGACAGCTGGCATGGGGGTGCTTTCCCGGGGATGTGCAGAGAGCTTGGCTGGCAGAGGGGCAGGAAGGGTCCCTGGGGCTGGTCAGAGGCCTCAGTCTGGAAATTAAAAATATTAAAAGAAGGCAGCAGAAGTGAGATTTGTGTTTACAGACACAGGTACCTCTGACCGTCAGAGGGATGTCTTCATCATCCCCAAGCAGTAGTCTCCATGACTTCATCAGCCTGAACAAGGTTTACAGGGTAGATTTTTCCGCTTTGCACAAAACTCTTAAGATACTTGATGACCACCTAGGCATCCTGGCTGTGGGTAGGTGGTCAATGAGTTGTTTGTAATGAAATAATTTCAAAAACAAATTTATAAAAACTCTCAAAACTTTCACAGCAACATTTCTTACATTTCATCTGGGATGGTGCATTTTGATAACTGAAATGTCAGGGGAGCCTGGCCACCTGCCCCCCCATGCCCTCAGTTAGGCCCCCCAGCATGGAGAACAGTGACCCTTCCCAGTGAGTGCATAGCTGGCCTCTGGGCAATGCTGCCTGGCCTCCAGCCACCACCTGTGGCATCCAGGGCCACCCACAGACAGGACAATGGAGACACACCACTCACCTCCCTGCACATGTGTGAGCCCGTGGGGGAATGTGCACACCCCCACACACCGTGGCCCCAGTGCGAATCAATTTTTTTGTCTCATCAACGCTGTAATGAAATGATGTTATTCGAGAACGTGCTGCGTTTGTAGAAAAACTGCTTAGCTGCCTGTGGAGGCAGGTTTCCCCAGTGGCCATGCCCGATTTGTGGTCACGAGAGAAGAAGCCACAACAACAAATCTGTGTGTTTTATCTGCATTTACTGGAGTTTTGACTTCTTTCTTAGACTGAACTCTAAGAAGTAGGATTTTGGGATGAAAGAACATAGACTGGGCACGACTCTCCATTCTATCAGCTTCAAATGTGCCCATTCAGCCTCTTTGCTAATGTGAGCACCTGGGATTCTGGTGGGGACACCATCAGTGAGGAAGCAGTGCTGGGGTGGGGGTGGGGGGCCCTAAAACCCACCACTGAGCTCCAGGGCGTGGCCTGGCCCCGCCTGCCTGTCCCAACCCACGCACATCTGTTGATGTCTGTTGACCTCCAGGGCCTTCCCAGCTACTATCTCCTCGGGTTCGGATGACATTTTTTTTTTTTTAAAGATTTTAATTGGGGAATTGTGGGGATGGGAACAGCGCTGGGGAATTGGGGGAAGAGGAACAGACAAGTTGCTGTCCTTCTGTTCCTCAGTCTAGCCATGGAGGACGCTGCTTCACTGGCCCAAGTTGGCAACATCACTGCGCTCCTCCCGGGCGAGGCAGACCAGTTGCCGGCTTATGGACAGCTGCTCACACTGGCTGCTGGCCGCTCTCGCTGGCTGCTGGCTACACACAGTAGCCCACGGCAACCCACTGCAGCAGGGGCTGCAGCCCAGCCGTAGCCGGCGACTCACAGCAACCCAGCTCCAGGCTAAGCCACTGCTCAGCATCTCAGCTGCAGAGGGCAGTGTCACTGGCCCTCACATGTGGGATCCGAACCGGGGCCCTCTGGCGTCCCAAGCCAGCTCCCAACCAACGCGCCACTCGGCCGGCCCCGGATGACATTTAAAGCGTGATTTTCCAGAAGGAGGGAAGGCAAGCATCTACAGTGGGTTCTGCGCTGACGCCTTCATGGGTCCGCCCACACCTGGTTCCCCACCTTGTCTCCCTCCCCACTTTCCTGTCCATGCTCAGTCTGGGGCTGGGCCCTGGTCTGACAGTGATGGCTCCAGCTGTGTGGAACGAAGACCTGCAGGCCCAGAGGAGCCCACGTTCCCAGGGGACAGTGAGGGCAACAGGCAGGTGCGGACGGGAGCCCAGGAGCCAGAAAAACCCAGAGAACCGGGTCTGGGTCATGGTCCAGCAGGTGAAAAAAGGGTGGAGGGCTCTGCCTCGTGCCGCCGGACCCCCACTGATGCAGCCAGGAAGCACTGGCCAGCCCACCCCTTCCCAGACATCCAGTCTGTCTCCTGACCACAGCCTCTTGGCAGGCCAGGGGAAGCCCTGCCAAGCCACATTCGGTCTGTTGCCTGTTTTGGAACAGTCACTATTTATCAGGTCTCCTCGTCTTAGCGGCTGGTTTCCACTAATTGGGTCTAAGGGGGCTGTGATAGGGGGAAGGCAGGTAGTGAGGGTGGGCCAGGCGCAGCGCTGCTCTGCTCCTGTAAACCTCACCTCGCCACGTGGCCCGCTGGGAAGGGGTCCGGCCGACGGAGTGCAGGCCTGGCCAGTCTCCCGAGGGGGCACCCAGCCAGGCCCACTGTTGGGTGGGGTCGGGGGGATCTGCTTGGGCCTGGCCCCTCACCACCCTGGTCCTGGGGGAGAAACAGGAGGGGACAGGTCCAGCTGGACTTGGTCCCTTCGGATAGGAAGCGGGACCTGACCCATTCCCCTTGGCCCTCCCCGGGCTGCTGGGCTGTGGAGAGAAGGGGCCTCCTGGTTCGAGAATAACAGGGCTTTCCCGAGCTTCCTTCCAGGCTCTAGGTCCAGGCTGGGTCACCGGAGTGGTGGCTGGGACACCCACAGCCTAGAGCGGCCAGGACACTGCCCTGGGCCCTGTGGGTGACACCCACTCCGTCATCCATGTCTGGGCTTTGGAGAGAAAGCAGATCGACGCTAGTCACACAGGCCACTGCCTGAGCTGACGGCTCCGAGGGCCAGACCCTGTCCAGTCGGGGAATCCCACCTGCAGGCACCTCAAGCCACACTCACCCAGGGTTCAGGGGAAGCCGCACACTCATGCTCTGTGACTTGTCCTGATCAGCAGGTAGGGAAACAGGCTGAGGGAGTCTGCAGCCCAAGGGCACTAGAAGCAGTGCCACAGCGGCCAAGCTCAGGCTAGGGACCCTGTTGACCACAGTGCTCTCCCTAGCAGCACGGGTCACTGCCAGAGCAGGGACGGCACCATGCAGAGTCCTCTCTCCTGGGGTGGGGCCCAAGGTCATGGAGGCAAAACCATAGGGTTGGGGAGCACGCCTGGCCTCACTGCTCACAGCTGAGATCAGGCAGTCCTCAGCTGGAGGCCTCCACGGGACACCCGCACTGCTGGCCGGCAGGGCTGCTGTCCTGAGTCTGGGAGCCTCTGCCCCCGCACCCTTTTTCTGTGCTCCCCAAGGCCAGATCAAGGCTCGGAGTCCACAGCCTTTGCCGAGAATGACCGTGGACAGTGCCCATGCCCACCAGTGCGACAGCACCCAGGCCAGAGGCTCCAGCCAGCTGGGTTTGGCGCCTGGTCTCAAGGGGTGCTCTGTCGACGGAAGGGGGAAGGGAGCGCGCAAGGCTTGGCCCGTCACCACACAGGAATCCTGGATGCCAGCGTGCATCTCAGAGCTGGCCCCAGCCTGCTTATCAGCAGGCCACACGTGGTGCTTGTGGCAACTGACTGCAGACTGGCCTGGGCCACTAAGGCCCTGCCAGAGGGGGCAGCAGACCCCTCACAGCTGCGCTGGGTGGGGGACTGCCCCTGCTCTGTTCCTGGATGCCAAAGGCCCTCCCACAGAAATGTCGCAGAGCGGTGGACCATGGGGCTGGGTGGGCAGACTACGCGTGGCCCGGGATAGACAGGGAGGCTGGGGCCAGCTTGACTGCCCAGCCCAGGCCTTTGCTTACGTCTGTCCCGAGGACGGCCGGTGGCAACACAGGTGTGTGTCCTTTCAGCACCGAGGGAATCAGGGGGAGTCAGTGCTGACCGAGGAGCTGGTGCCCACAGGGTGGTCCTTCGGGTGTCCGTCCTCAGTGTCCACTTTGGATGCTGGTAAAGCCTTGCTCACGCCCACCTGGGCCTGGTCAGCGGGGAAAGGAGGCAGGCGCTCCCGCCCGGCGCCAGGCCACAGACCTGGATGGAGCTGAGGGTGAGGACCTGGCAGCCTCAGGCTGGGAGACTGCAGTCTGAAAGCCCCCATAGGCCCCTCCGATTAGCCTCAGGGCAGTGACCTGTCTGTGGGCTCCGCACCTTCTGCTCCTCCTCTGCCCACAGCCAGGACACCCGCCCAACCCCAAGGCACTCGGGACAGGATTCACCATGGGGGCTACCGGAGCAGGACCCTGTGTCTCCCACATGTGACGAGGGCGTGTTCTGGGTGTCATGGGCTCCCTGAGCGACTTCCAGTTGTTACAAAGAAGCAAATAAAGTCGTCACTCAACCCAACTTTATAACAAGTCTGTTTATTGAAAGGATCTGAAAATATTAATAAGGCTTTCAACAACATTTAACAAATTTTCAGGATATTAACAATATGAAACATTAAGAATTTACTTCAAAAACTCCAAAGCCCTCTAGATCATTCCAACATCATGCTGCTTTGGGCTGACACTTGCTTTTCTGTCTGAACAAGTGACCTGTGTTCTGAACGCCACCCACTTTGGACCTGAAGCCAGGCTGGGTTGGGCCCCTCAGCCTGAGGGAGGTGAGAACTGGCCTCTGGTCCAACACCCGGCAATGCCAGCTCACCGAGGCAGCACTGGATGGACGCACGTGGACGGTGGAGGGCGCTCAGGCTGCAGGGCCAGCTCTTTGGAGACTCCCAGGGTAGCCGCCCATGTGGCCCTGGACTTGCCAAGTGGACACGGCACAGCCCCGCCCATCACCCCAGAAGGGAGGCCCAGAGGGGCGGGGGGCCGCCCTTTCCTTCTCACCAATTGAGCAGATGAAAACACAACTCAGACAAACCAGTCACTCAAACAGGCCTGTATTTAGGGTGCCTGCTGGGCGAGGGACCAAGGCCACATGCAAACGGAGCGGAGCCTCAACTCTGCCCATGGACTCCCACACTCATGCACACGCCCCCTCCCGGCCGCCAAGGGAGGAGCGAGTGCTGGAATGACGGAGCTGCCATGCACCCCAGGATCCACAGGGACAGAGAGCAGAACCAACATGAACGTCACCACACCACGCTCCGCACCAATCTGTTTGTCCCCACCTTCTTGTGACAAGTGCACAGGACCACAGCTTACTGAGGCTCCCATCTCTCTCTGTGGACCGTCACCCCCACCCACGGCAACCATGCTGGACTGGACAGAGGGTCCCAGTACACGTCACACAGAACACATGTAAACACGCACGGAGCTCCATTTCACGACAACACACCCCTTTCCTCTGGACTCTGCACCTGATAAAACCCGTACACGAGAATCCTAACAAGTACACATAGGATTTAAATCTCTTCCAGGGCGCAGAAGGTGGACCCTGGTTTGTGAGGAATGTGTGTGGGTCCACCTGTCGCCCAGCCACCTCCTGGCTCACGGGCCACGGTGTGGCACTCTGCGGCACCTGTCACACCAAAGCAGGGTTAGGAGACAGGCAGGGGACCAAGGCAGGAGGGTCTGGCCAGACACAGTGCAGACCCGAGCGAAGGGCGGGGATGCCGCCCACCAACTACCAACTGCTCTTGGCAGAGGTGTACCCTCCAGGACCTTTAGGGGACAAGGAGCAGGACAAAGGGGAAATCGTGGGGGCTAAAGGAAGATTTCCGGCTGACACATTTATTTTCAACACCAAAGGAAGACCCACCCATCCTGATCCCCTCGGAGTTGAACAGGCTGATTCGTGGAGTTTCCTGATGAGGGTCACACAGCCCGTGCAGCGCGGCAGCCCTGCCTGGGGACAGGCTCTGACTGACAAGACGAGGCGCAGTGGTGGCTTCGGAGCTCGGTCATTGCTCACTTGGCTTATTTAGAAATGCAAAAAGAAGTCAGATTTAAAATGTTAAAAACGGCTGATTTGGTCAAGAAAAGGCAGATTCCAGGCTCGCTCTCTGGCTAAGGACAGAAGAGACGTGACAGCTGATGCCAGCAGGGCTGTGACCCTGCAGGTGGGTGTGCTCCAGGAGGGGCGTGGGAAGGACGCGGGGAGGGCAGGAGTCACGGGCTTGGGGCCCGAGCACGGCCGCAGCAGCGCGGCCTAGCCTTCCCCATCCTCTGTGCCCACATACTCGTCCTCCGCGAAGCAGGCCTGCCTCTTCCTCACGTTCCAGTGCAGACACTGGGCCAAGCTCCCGAACCAGTCGCTCACCGGGTCCCACACGCAGATGGAGGGCAGCGGGTAGCAGGAGGTAGTGATGCTGATGCTGGGGGACGACAAGGCCGTGAGCCGCACCCAGACCCCGCCCAGGGCTGCGGCCGGCAAGCCAGCTCCCCACTCACGTCGCTTCCCGAGCAGCCTGGCCCCAGGTCCTCAGATGCCTGGGGGGCCAGGCGACTTGTCAGTTTGTCTCGGCCGAGGCCAGCCACGGGCCAAGGGCTCAGTGGTACTATTGGATGTCCCAGGACAGAGCCGTGGAGCCCCAGGCCACCCCAGTCTGTGGATGAGCCCTCGGGAGGGGGTGGCGGGGAGGCTGATGGGACAGGACGATGGGTGCAGCCAGCAGGTTACCACCAGGCCCGGTGGAATGTGAAGCCGTGCGGCAACCTGACTGACAGGCTGCCCGACATGCATGGCCCCCCACTCCCTGGTGTGATAATGTGTGACAAGGACCCGTGCTGCCTACAGGACCGAGGGTGGCATACTCCCCACCCCTCACGCCCCGCTGCGCACCCACCTGTCTCCATGGCGGATCTCCTGTCTCTTTCGTCCGTCGAAGGACACCCAGGCTGTGTTCCTTGCTTCCGGGGACAGCATGATCTGAAGGAGTTAAGCAGGACAGGTGTGGGCTTGTGTGTGTGCAGCTGAACCCCTCGGTCCCCTGCCCGGGGAGGCAGCACCAGCCAGGAGGGGCCTTGCGGGTGTTCACAGCACCCACTACATGCTGGGGCCAGCTCCGGGCCATCAGGCGTTAACTTGCATCTCACTGACATCAGCCCTGGGGGACAGAGGACTGACATCTGTCTGTCCATGACCAAAGCTCTCTGCGGACGCAGCCCCACCTGCCAGCGCTCACGGCCAGGGCTCATTCCTGACCTGGGGCCGCTCAGCCTGTCCCCATCCAACGTGGACAGGCCCCACCCAATGCAGGCCGAGACGAGCATGGAGCGAGGCTCTTTCTGGCATCAGCAAGGTGGGGCCCACAGCCTGGGGGCCCCGGGGGACAAGGCCACCTCAGCCAGAACGGGTCATCAGTCCCACAGGCCCCGAGCTAACGTCTCAAGCTGGAGAAGGTGGAGAGGGTGGGCTCTGACCTTCAGCTCAACCCCTGCCGGGACCACAATGGGCCGGAATGACAGCGAGTGGGGGCAGATGGGCGTGATCATGATGGCCGGCACATTGGGGTGGATCATGGAGGCCCCGGCTGCGGCCGCGTATGCTGTGCTGCCCGTCGGGGTGGACACGATCACACCTGAGGATGGCCGCAAGGTTGCTCTCCGTGCTCCCCACCCCGCAGGGATCCCCAGGGCACACCCGCCAGGGTGGACACGATCATGCCTGAGGATGGCCGCAAGGTTGCTCTCCGCACTCCCCCACCCAGCGAGGACCCGCAGGGTGCCCAGGGCACACTAGATGCCCACTTACCATCGCCCTGCACGGTGGTGATGAGGTGCCCATCCAGGTAGACGTCCACGTTGGACAGGTAGGAGGAGGGGCCTCTGTCAATCACCACCTCATTCAAGACCTGGGGGGCGGCGAGGCCACCACACACTGAGAGGGGCTGGGCAGCGCCCCCCAGCTGTGTCTGTCCCAGACAGCCCTGCTCCTGGACTCTCTGGGGGGTTCTGAGGATGGGGGGCTCCCCCTTGGCGTTCAACCTAAGTCCTCCAACCCTGTGCCCCTCCCCAAGGCCATAAGAAAGGGAGGATAAGGCTTGGGGACTCGGGGACTCGCTGAGGGACGTGTCCACAGACCTGGTACTGCATGACCTGCTTGCCGACCTCCACGTCCAGGTGCACAGCTGGCAGCCCGTTCTCGCCCATCCCATTGGGGACGGCCACCTTCTCCCCTGTGAGCTCCTTCACGACCCTGACCTTCAGCCGGCTCCGGAGGACCACAGCTGCGTTCCCTGGGGGCCCGGATGGGTCACACCCAGGGAGGTCAGCAGGGGTGGGGTGACACCCCATAGGAAGTAGACACCCCCTGACCAGGGATCCCCTTTCTCCTCCCAATGTGACAGCGACACTTCTGCGTCTTCTGCGAAAGTCAACAGGCATAGCGGCTGCAGCCCGCGACCTGCCCCCACTTCCCAGCGTTAGGAAAAAGGCCTGAGCCGGTGAACACGTAGGATCTCTGATGTTGGAACAGGGAAGTGTGCTCTATGCCTGAGCCCCAAGCCAAGTGAGGACACGCGTGTGCCCAGAGCTGCGGTGGCTCTGGAACACAGCCACTCACCCTGTATCACCTGCGTAACTTGGGTCTGAAAGTTCTCGAAGTTGAAGGGGGTCAGGAAGCCCAGGGAGCCCAGGTGGAACGCCATGACCGGGGGCACGCTGCCCTGTGAGCCGACAAGGCGGGTCACTCAGCTGGCCAGTCTACTCAAGTCATCGAATCATCCCCAGCACTGACCAACCCTCGCCCGACTGTCTCCAGAGGGGAGGGTCAAGGCCAGGCGGGGCTGGCAGGGCTGGACTGACGTGGAGTGACTGCGCGAGGTCAGCAAGGCCAGGAGGATCAGTGGTGCGGAGAGCCGACGAGAATCAAGGGCAGAAGGACTGACTGGCTCGCTGGCCAGAGGACAGGAAGGGACCACGGGGAGCACAGCTCCTCCAGCCCTGAGACCGAGCCCAGCAGGGTCTAGGTCAGCTGGAAGACCCTGCTGGACAACGGCGGGGGGAGGAGGGTGGGGGCAGTGGAGTGAGTGGGACTCTGGTCCCTGCCACATGGCTCTGAAGCCCCTTAAGAGCCGCTCCCCCTGCTGGGTCGGGGGGGCGGGTAGCTCTGTGGAGGCAGGATGCAGCAGGGGTCAGCAGGGCTCGGGCCACCCCCAGGACCCTCACTCCTCTTCCCAAGCTCTAACTCTGCAGCATTTGGGGCTTGCTTGTCCATGCCACCTGGTGCCAAGGCCCCAGTCCACACTGTCCACAGTACTTGACCGTCATGTCCCACTGGCCACCCTGCCCACTTCCAGGCTCTCTCCATGGCCTCCACGCCTGACTTTCTAGTGCCCCTGGCTGGGTCCGACCAGGAGAAGGTGGGCTCAGATGGCTACCCTGGGCGTCAGCGCTGACCCTCGCCGACTCGTGCCTCCCTCCCCCCCCCCGCCAGTGCCCTGGAGGGTCAGCCTGTGGCTGCTGCCCTCGCCCACGAGGCCACATGGCACCAGCTCTCCTGGCCGACGCTGTCTGTGCGGGCAGCTGCCTAGGACGGTTTCTCCACCACTGCCTCCTCCCCCAGTGGCAACAGGGCCGGGCTGTCCCAGCTTGCAGCACCACAGAGAGCAGTCGCAACACATGACTCTGTCACCAAGTAACCGAATTTAGAGAAAGTCCGTCTGTGTCAGTAAGAACGTGTGTGGCTGCTCACCGCGGCATGAAGCTGGTGAGCAGGAAGGCAGGCACGGGACGCAGTGAGAGGGCCCCATGCAGCCCAGGACCGTCAGGAGCCTCACCTGGAAGAGCGAGGAGGCGTAGAGCAGGGTCCCGTCCCCCCCCAGGCATATGATGAAATCGATCTGGTTGGAAATGTCATCATAGTCTAGAAAACACAACAAGGAAAAGCTGTCATGGCTGCCCGCCAGGGGCAGAGGGCAACCCCAACTAGCCGCTGCGCATGAAGTGGGGTGGCTCGCCTTCTCTGAAGGTGCAGAACTTCCTCTTCACGGGTCCGAAGCTGTCGTCACCCACGATGGCGGGGTCTTCCAGAACCTTCTTCTCCACATACACAACCATGTTGTTCTCCTGGAAAGCAGTCAGCAGTCAGCCCAGGCCTGACGCCCGCCTGTCCACGCCATCTGCGTGAGGGCCCCTCGCCAGTCGGGCGCTGCAGGATGGGACGGAGTCCTGTCCTGGCTACAAACTGCTCGCTCCGCCTGCACAGCCCGCTGCCCGCGGTCACGGAGGCCGCTGCCTGGGACCGGCCTGCTGACCTCACCAGCCAAGACCCCTGCTGGCTAGGTCGAGGGGGGGGGGGGGGGGGGGGGGGAGGTAGTGCAGAGGGGTTGGGGTGGCCCCGCCTGCTTGCCTCCATCAGGTACATGCACAGCTCCTTGAAGGGCTGCAGCAGGCTGGCGTCCCGGATCTTCTTGATGACAAGGACACTCTTTGGGCACTTGTTCCACGTCAACCGCTGGCTGGCAGGGTCCTGGATGTGCCTGGTGGGGAGGAGCGTTCACACCAGGACAGGCCCCACGGCACGGACGCGGGCCGGGGCCAGAGCGGCCGTCTTCCCGCCAGCTGCCCTCCCGCCTGGAAGGTCCTCGCCCGGGGGCTGTATGCCCTGGGCACCTTGCTGCCTGAATGCACCCACTACTCACCTTCTTGGGCCCTGAGTTCACCCACGCTTGTTTGTTTAGTTCCCATGACACCCCTGAGGGCTCCTTAGGGGCAAACATTACATACAGCTCAGCTCCAGGAGGACCCAGCTGGCTGCCCTTTGCTCGTACCCTCCCTTGCACCCAGCCAAGGTGCCAGCTTCTCACAAACACCCAGACCAGACGACTGGGGACTGTGCCCCTGGAGACCACTGCAGACCCCTCATCTCTCACGCTTCCTGCTGGCTTGCCCATGGTGTCTATGTAACCCATGGGGTGCAGCCCACTGTCCAACTCAACTTTTACAATTAAAAGGTACCCTGGGGGCCGGCCGAGTGGCTCAGTTGGTTAAGAGCGTGAGCTCTGAGCAACAGGGTGGCTGGTTCGATTCCCACATGGGCCAGTGAGCTGTGCCCGAGTTGAGCTGTCTCTGAGCTGCCAACAGGTGGCAGGGTGGCTCAGCTGGTGAGAGCACGTGCTCCTAACAACAAGGTTGCCGGTTCGACTCCGGCATGGGATGGTGGGCTTTGCCCACCTGCAACTAAGACTAAACACAGCACCTTGAGCTGAGCTGCCAATGGGTGGCAGGATGGCTCAGCTGGTGACAGCACCTCCTAACAACAAGGTTGCCGGTTCGACTCCTGCATGGGATGGTGGGCTTTGCCCACCTGCAACTAAGACTAAACACAGCACCTTTTTTTTTTTTTTTTTTTAGCTGAGCCATCCTGCTACCTGTTGGCAGCTCAGCGGCTGCTCAGCTCGGGCTGGACTCGAACCGCTGTTGCTCAGAGCTCAAACTCTTGAGCGAGCTCTTAACCAACTGAGCCACTCGGCCGGCCCAAACACAGCACCTTGAGCTGAGCAGTTGCGAGTTGCCAATGGGTGGCCAGATGGCGACTGGACCTGGAGCTGAACTTGCTGCGCCCTCCACAACTAAGATTGAAGGACAACAACTTGGCTGTTCCCCTTCCCCAATAAAATCTTAAAAAACAAAACAAACAAAATCCCTGTTTCAAAGTCAGCGGCAGGGTCTGGGGGCAGTAAAACTGCCCTGTGACGACCAGGTGGCTATGTGTCACTGTACGGCTGTGCAAACCACGGAATGCACAGCGCCAAGTGACCCTAGTGTTAGGGGCCCCTGGGCAGTGATGACTGTCAGTGCAGGTCTGTCAGTTATATGTAACACGTGCACCCTCTGTGGGGAGGTTGACAGTGGGGGCAGGGGGTGGGGGGACATGGGAAATCTCTGTGCCTTCCCCTCGATTTTGCTGTGAACCTAAAACTGCTCTAATAGTTCTTCTAAAAGCCAGCGGGCATCCTGCCCGAGAAGGACAGCCCCCAACCCCCAGGCACGCTGGTGTGGGGAGGCCACACACGCAGTGGTCCGAAGGCCCCCAGCTGTGACTGATTACTGTTTAAGCCATGGGGATGTCCCCGCCTGGCTTGGAACAAGCCAGAACTTGGTGGAGGACAAGGTTCGAGAGCAGCACATGAACAGGCCCGCCACTGTGGTCAGCACATGCCTCAGCCCATTGGGGACATCTCTGAAAACTGCAAGGCAAGTGGCACAAGGACCTCCTCACTTATGATGCCAGCTGCAAACCTGCCTCATGGGCTGGAGCTGCCCCGAAGACAACGTTCAAAACCATGACATAGGAGGGCTGGCCGAGTGGCTCAGTTGGTTAGGAGCTCGCTCAAGAGTTTGAGCTCTGAGCAACAGCGGTTCAATTCTCCGTCTGAGCTGCCAACAGGTGGCAGGATGGCTCAGTTAAAAAAAAAAAAAAAAAAAAAGTGGCAGGTGTCTGACCTTGGCCTGATACTGACTGACCATGACTCACCCTCTCTGGGTGTTTCTGCGAGGGGAGAGGTCCCTCATGATGTCCTCTAAAAGCTTCACCGCCTGCCCTGGCCATGTGTTGGCTCACGGGCAGGTGTTGCCTGGCCTGTGCACAGCGTCCCCATCACGCAAACTGGCCCCAACTCTCCCAACTGTGCATCTGTATTATACACCTGGTCTCATTGCCTCAAAACTGAGCATGACATCGCCCTGCAGTGACATACTGAAGGCTGTACGAAACAGTCACATCAAGAGCTTCCAGGTTCAAATCCAAACGGCAGAGCACAGGTAACCTCACTTTACACCATCCCTTTGCCTAATCACCTGCTTCAAACAGAAAGTTCTCGCACTCCTCTGACAGCAGAGGCCAGACCCGAGATGCCCTGCGAGGCTGGCCAGCTGAGCTCTGCTGCCTTGGGCACCAGGACAGGCCCTGTCCAGCGCTCCACTCTGGGTGCAGTGACAAGTCCCAGCGGCACACCCAGGAATCTGAGCGGGGCTGTGGAACCGGCTGGGCCCATGGGCGGAGCAGTCAGGCCTGGGTCAGGAGAGGGACATGCACTCCCACACACGTCCCTCTGCTTGGCCCCAGGCCCTGGAGGCAACGTGGGTGGCTCACTGCCCTGGCCAGATCAGTGGGAGTCTGACCAATGGCTGAGGCAGACACCAAGCCCCTTCTCCCACTGACCCAGGCAGGCTCGGCCTCGCCCTGCAGGGGCCTGGGCACCAACTGGCTATTCAACTTCCTGCTGGGTCGCCTTCCAGGGGAGGTACAGTCCCTTCCCCGGCACACAAGCTGTGGGCACCGGCCAGGAGAGCAGGGACACCTGGCAGCCTGGCAGCTGACCCACCTGAGCCAAAGGCAGCTGGGTGTTGGCCAGTCCACATTTCAACATCAGAGAGAGTCCAGCGGCATTCACGGTGAAATGTCAGATGACAGGGTAGGACGTGAGAGCCCCTACAACCTACCTAGCTACCGGCTCTTACTTCTGAACATCAGGAAGAAGGTCCATGCTACGAACCATGGCCCACCCAGGTACCGCACTGGAGGGGGCACAGGCAGAGAAATGAAGCCTGTTCCCCCCGATGACAGCCCCACCAGACAGTGCCAGGCACAGGGCCTAGGAGGGGCAGAGAAAGCCGCTCACTCCAGCCCACTTGCGGCCCTGAGGACACTTCTGGGACACCTGTCCTTTGCTCAGGCAGCCCTCCCGGAACAGCCCCACCTGACAGTAGGGAGCAGCTCAGATGCCGCTGGCTCACAAAGCCAAAAGACACAGACATTGACTATGGGCTTGGCTGGGAGTTGGGTGCCAGCTAATTAAGGAGGGACCGTGAGAGGCCGCTCAGGGTGGCACTTAAACCGTGATGTTGAGCAACAAGGAGAAAGTAGCTGTGCCAAGACTAGGAAAGGCAGGGCTCGGCCTGAAGGCAGCGGGTGAAAGGCCAGGGCAGGCCAGTCTGGGGACAGAGCAGGGTGGGAGCAGCAGCGGGCACCCGGGTGGGTCAGGTTAGCTGTGTGTGCTGTGAAGAGTGGACTGTGGGGGCGCTAGAGGGGCAGCTGGGGAGCAACGACAGGATCAGGACCCGGTTACTGAACAGCCATAGACAACACCTGCACGCAGAGGCCCTAACACCAAAGCCACTGCAGTGCCAGGCCCAGCCTCAGCGTCTGGGTGGGTCGGCAGGGCCAGCAGGCCTCAGGACAAACGCAGCCCAGCAGTTCCCCAGGCAGCCTGGAGGTGGCAGCACAGGCAGTCTCCATCGCCCTAGCTGACATCCAGGACCCGGTTCAGAGGGGTCGTGATCTGAGATCAGGGGTCCTGACACCAGGGAGATGGAGGTGACTGGCTGCGGTGAGTGTGTGCGTGTGGTGGGGGCGGGCGGCAGCAGACGCGTCAGTTGCAGAAGTACAGCCAGGTCCTCGGGGCTCACCCTAAATAAGGGACCCTGCTGGGGACTCAGCACAAAGGCCGAGGGGTGCTGAGGTGCCACAGGTGTCTGGCCTGGCCCGGCCCGCAGGGCTGAGAAGCAATCCTGATCTTTTTCGTTTTTAACATAAATCATCAATATCAGGTAGGTCATTTTAGTGTTTTTTCATAAGACATCAAGCAGGCAGACCTCCACTAGAGCATCCTAACAGCTTTCCTCCGTCTGGAGCCACCAGATACCAGGCGGGAGAAGCTGGGCTGATGGTGACGTAGGCGAGTTCCAGGAAAGCGCCCTAACTGCTTAGTGTTTACACAGCGTGTCATCTGGCGTCAGGCTGCTGCCAAAGCGCAGCCCCTGCAAGGTGGACTCTCTCAAACAAGTAAACTCAGATTTTCAAAAACGCCAATTAATGTCTTGTATTTTAAGAATAATTAAAGGAGAAGCATCTGACCCATCAAATGTGTTAGCATGAAATACGTCATTTTTCCTCCTAAAGTTTTTACTGCAAGAAAACAAAAACGTGCCTCTGTCTTAGTGGAGGTCCCCGCCCGCCCCATCCTGGAGGCCCAGCACTCAGGTGACAAAACTCGGCATGCCAGAGCCCCCCACAAGGCAGCGGCCCTGGGGCCCCCAGCACTTACATGATGGTCTGGGGGTTCTGCAGCACACAGGCCTTTGGTCCAAACGTGGTCACTGGGCACGGCCCGTGCAGAGAGCGGGTCCTCCTGTGGGGAGAGAGCATACGGCGGGTGAGCCAGCAGGCAGCCAGAGGACCCGCACATGCAGGCACAGTGCAGACTGTTCTTGACTCAGAAATGTCCTCATCCGAGTGATGTGAACTCCGTCACCTATTCAGCAGCCACGGGATAGTCCCGGAAGATTCCGCTCTGCTCTGCAGAGCTGATGGGCATGCCACATGCTATCCAGGTAGCAACAGCAATTAGAGATACACGGGACCACCTAGAATCGCCCCTCAGAGCAAGGGTCCACCCCAGGATAGGGGACTGCGACCTTTGGGAACAGGCCTGGGATCTGGATTCATGCAGCCTCTCGACAAGTATATCTGAGGACAGTCCTTGGGTCTACACTTGGGAACCAAGATCTGGGAAACCATCCCTAAGAAATCCAGATGAAAAGTCTAACAAAACGCTCATTCTGAGTTGTACTGTAAACAGAGAGAGAAGATGCTACGTGAGGGGCCCAACTTTCCAATATCTGAAAAGTGACTCAGTCACAATCACGTCATTTCACAAAGGGCACTGCAGCCAGCCCGTGTCCTAGGGACATCACTCGGAGGCCTTCCCTCTCCTGTCCTCAGGGGCCCAGGGGCCCAGCCCCCTCCTCCCCCCAGGCAAGGGGCCAAAGGAGCAACAAGGACACTGCCGCGTGACAGGGCGAAGGGGAGGAAGTGTTCACCCCCACACAGAACACCAGCCCCCAGCGCCTCATGGTCTCTGCCCCCAAAATACTGCCGCAGAGACAGCCAGTCAGAAACGCAGATGTGCTCTCATCTCTAACTCCCCATCTCAGGGTCAGTGAGATCTTCAGGTCTCAAAGCAGACAAACCGGACTTTCTATTGTCCTGTGAGGCCGCAGCCCTGAGTCCTGGCATCTGCGTAAAGGCTGGGCTGTGCTGTCCTCGTGGGCGTGCCTGGAGCGCCGGGGCCACCCCCGTGGCCTTTTGGGACAAAAAGGCCGTGGAAGTGCATTCAGAGCTCATCTAAGTCAGTGTTTACATCTCTGCTCTGCTCCTCAAGAGCTGGCTGTGACCGGGCACAGTCCTCCCCCTCCCCTCCCCTCCCGACACCCGCAGAGGCGCCTCTGACCTGCTGCCACTGTGCCAGGCTCAGTGTCCTCTGAAACAGAAGGTGTGTTGTGCAAACCCCACAAAACCAAAAACCAAACACAGTGCTGCCACGCGTGGCCTGGGTCAGAGGAGCACATCAAGGGGAAAGCTGCCGCCAGCAGCACACAGGGGCTGGACTTCCCACCCAGAAGCCGTACCGGCACCCTGTCCTTGCGCTGCTGCCCACAGGCGTGGTGACCGGCGCTGTGGGCTCCCCCACCTCACCCAGCTTTCAGCCCTGAGCCCCTCTTGCATTTCACAAACAAGACCCTTGCTTCAGAGGCGACGCTCACTCGGGCAGCTGCCACCGAACTCCGTGTTCACTGTTTCAGAAACCAGAGCAGCATTCACAGGTGTCACGATAGCCACATGCCCAGCGCAGGGCCTGCCCAACAGCCCGGTGGCCACATTTGGCCCTCTGTCAACCTGGCTGTACAGGGCCACAAACCACACCCCTCCATGTTCAAGGGCATGTGGGCCGCTGATGGGGGAGCAGCTGGAAGGCAGCCAGGCTCTGCAGACCCACAGGGGCAAGTGTCTCCCTCCCCGACAGGTCCCCAAAGAGCCCTTCTTCAATCTTGTGAGAGAACTCCTGAATGTGCTCAAGACACCTGATGGAGGGTGGAAGGAAGAGAGGAAGAGAGGGAGGGAGGGAGAAAGGGCGGGCAGGCCACAGAAGGCTTCGTACCTGAACTCCTTGGTGCTCGCCAAGGCAGGTGAGGCGGATAGGCTGCGGGACTTGGCCCGACCCCGGATGGGGGTGCCGAGCACCCAGTCCTCATCCCCATGACACGCGGAGCAGCGGTATGAGGCCGCGTCTGCGCTCAGCCCCTTCCTCACGTTGACTTTTTCTTGTTCCATTTCCATCATTGATGAACGAGGGCTTCGGTCAGAGAAATGCTGATCCCTTAGTTTAATAAAATGAAGGAAATAAGTATATGTGCACAAAGCAATGTCTACACACGCGTGCTCCTATCCCATGGGGAAATGGGTGAAGTCCACTTTACCAAAGGACTTTGAAAATGGCCTCTTTCCATCCAAAGCATACTGAGAGCTCGAGAACCTATCTGTGGTTTTTACGGAGCCTAGACGAGCTAAAGGTCAAGGAAGAGGAAAACCACCCAGCCTGGGCTGCATGCGGCCTTCTCTCACCAACCAGGGCGGGGAGGCAGCAGTTAACAGAGAAACCCAGTATGCGGCTTTAAGTGTCTGAGTCCAGAAAAGCTCCACCAATATCATCAGTAACAGCAGCCAGCTGGTGCACAATGGACGCCAGGCCCTGCCAGCAGAGCCTGCGGTTTTAATCCGGTGCCAATGAAACACCAAAACTGACCTATTTAAGCCTCAAGAAAAACTTCAACCTCAAAAATCAGTGAAGGTGGTGAGAGCCTTATCTTCTGAGCACAATACAATAAAACCAAGGAAGAGAGCAAAAACAAAAACAACCCTCCTCTGGGGGCATACGAACTTCCTTTTAACCGATTTAGGGCTCGAAACGACGCCAACGCCAATGCTGCAGCACATGGCCAAGGTAAGCGTGTCAACACGAAAACAGTCTGTGCCGCCCATGAAGCTGGACTGAAACTCTTGAGAATGAGACTAACGAGCTGAGGTTTACTCAAAAAAGCTGGAAAAGGAGTGAAATCAGCCTGAGACAGGCAGGACAGGTGATGAAAACAGAGGCCGAAATCGATACACTGAAAAATAGAAAAAGAGCACAGTTTGGAGAAACACTATAATAAATAAACCAATTTTGATTGAGGCACTAAAAGTATGCTAATTGGGGCCGGCCGAGTGGTACGATGGTTAAGAGTTGGCTTGGGGGCTCAGTGGTTAAGAGCTTACTCAAGAGTTCGAGCTCTGAGCAACAGGGTTGCCAGTTCGATTCCCACATGGACCAGTGAGCTGCACCTGAACTGAGCTGCCAACAGGTGGCAGGATGGCTCAGCTGGTGAGAGCACGTGCTCCTAACAACAAGGTTGCCAGTTCGAGATGGCGGTCTACATCTGCCTACAACTAAAGACTGAACTCGGTACCTTGAGCTGAGCTGCCGCCCGGATGGCTCGGTGGACAGAGTGTGCGCTCTTAACGAGGCTGCTGGTTCAACTCCCGCATGGGATGGTGGCTACGTCCACTCTCAACTAATTGAACACAGCACCTTGAGATGAGCAGCACGGCTGGACTTGGAGCTGAGCGAGCTGCACCCTCCACAACCAAGATTGAAGGACAACTTGGCTGTTCCCCTCCAATTCCCCAATCAAATCTTAAAAAAAAAAAAAAAAATCCTAAGTAAAGAGATGACATGACTGTCTGTTCAAGCTGGCACATTAGCTTATTTTTGTCTATTATATTAACTTTGTGGGTAACTTTGTGCTCTAGTACTTTCATACCTCTCATGGCAAAGGTCTGAAACTTTTTAAAACTTTCCCAATAAAATGTGAAAAAAGAAAAAAAAAAGTTGTCTTGGGACACCAGCTCTGAGCAGCAGGGCCCCAGTTCAGATCCCACATGAGGGCAAGTGACACTGCGCCCTCTACAGCTAAGATGGTGAACAACAGCTTGACCTGGAGCTGGGCTGCTGTGAGTGGCCGGCGATGGCGTAGGCTGCAGTGGGCTGCCACAAGCTACCGTGAGTGGCCGGCAGCCAGCGTGAGCTGCCAAGAGCTGCCGTGAGCCAGCCGTCCAGTGGCCAGTGACCGATCGGCCTCACCCGGGAAGACAGCAATTATAATATCAACATGGGCCAGTGAAGCAACGTCCTCCACAGCTAGACTGAAGAACAAAAGGACAGCAACTTCTCTGTTTCTTTTCCCCGATTCCCCAGCACTGTTCCCCTTCCCCAATTCCCCAATAAAATCTTTAAAAAAAAAAAAAAAAAAAAGGATGCTATCTGGTAAACTTGGAGCAGAAGGTAACTGTCTAAGAAATTCCCGACTGACTGGACAGAGAGGGTAACAGGCCTCGCACGGTGGCAGCTGAGGGTGGGTGGCTGTGGCTGAGGCCACCGGGCGGGTCTGCCAGCCCTTCTCAGGAAGCCAAACAGGAGAACAGAATGGGCTTCTGGCTTAGGGAGACCCCTACAAGGGGCACCCAGGTAGAAGCCAGCTGGGTAAGTGCCACACAAGTCACTTCACCACAAGCAGAGGAAGGTCACAGCACACCTGGTATGTTCTGTCATAGAGGAGAACGACTTTCTCACCTGAGGATGAGGCAGACGCTGGCTCTAGAGGGACAGATATGGGTGGTGGGGAGGAGGCCAGGAGGAAGCTTCAGGACTCCAGACAAACCCGAGACCTCCAAGTTAAGGTCAAAGGTGACGGGGTCCCTGAATGCACCCCCCACCCCCTGCACTTCACAACCACCGAGTTCCCACACCCAGACTGGACCCACAGGGATCAGTTCTGAAAGTGCCCCCTCTCCCCGAGGATTCTACTGATTCTACTGTTTAGCTCAGGGTGACAACACTGCCTAGTGGAGCAAAACCGTCCTAAGCTTCAGAAACTTGTGTTTTATCCAAATAAGACAACAATTTCAATCACAAGCAGAACCTACAAAAACATGTCTGATATAGCCACTCCTATCCAGTCCTGTATGGTGGCTCCAGCCAGCGCAATAAGGCAGGAAAATGAAATCAGGGCAGAACAGGAACAGGTAAAAGGCACACGTGCAGGTGACACGACCTACATAGAAAGTCAGGAATCCACAAAAAAGTGACTACAGCTAATAAGTGAGTTTATTAGCAAAGCTGCAGGAAACAAATTCAATACACAAAAATCAATTGTATTTCTGTGTACCAGCAGTGAACAGTAAGAAACTGAAATTGAAAAACACCATTTTCAGGGTTTTAAATATAAAATACATAGGGATATAGCCGACAAATGAAGTGCAGAACCTGCTTCCAGTTATAACATACATGCATCCTGGGAAGTAACAGGTGGCGTGGTGACTAATTAATACTGTAGCATATATTAGAAAGTTGCTAACAGTAAATCTTAACGGTTCTCATCACAAGAAAAAAAGACTAGCTGCATGGTGACAGATGCTAAACTAGACTTACGGTGGTGATCATTCTGTAATACACACAAATACCTAAAAGCGTGGTACACTTGAAACTAATACAATATGCCAATTATACCTCAATTTTAAAAAAGGTGCAACCCTGCACACTGAAACTAGAAACTGCTGCCAGCAGGAATGAGAGGAAACAAACAGATGGAGACACCATGTTCATGGATTAGAGGACGTGATGCTGCTCAGATCTCAGTTCTCCCCAAACTTACTTACAGATTCTACCCAAATCCAACAAACAAAACCCAGCAGACTTTTCTACAAGAAACGACAAGCTGATTCTAAAATTCATGTGTATGTAAAGGACCCAGACTAGCTAAGAAACTGGAAAAGAATGAAGTTGGAGGACTCACACTTCCTGACTTTCATCACTTGTTGGAAAGCTACAGTAAGCAGACAGTGGGGTGCTGCCCTAAAGACAGACATGCAGATCAGGGGACAGAATGACAGCCTCACACAGACACAGCCAGTGGATTTCCAGCAGACATGGGCAGGTAATTCAACAGAGAGAGGGTAATTTGTTCTCCAAACACTTCTGGGGAACTTGATAGCCACGTCTAAAAGAATGAAACTAATCTCTTTCCTCATACCATGTGCAAAGATTTATTCAAATTGAAAGTATAAAACTTGCAGAAGAAGGCATGGAGAAAATCTCGGTGGCCTTGGGTTTGGCAAAGATTTCTGAAACAGGACACAAAATGCATAAACTACAAAAGAAAAACACTTGAGAAACTGAACCTCATTACAATTAAAATCGTTTACCCTTCATATGACACTGTTAATAAAATGAAAACACAAGCTGCAGACAAAATACTTGCTAAGCATATAAGCGACAAAGGACTTGCATCCGGAATAATAAAGAAATCTCAAAACTCAGTAAGAAAACAAACAACCCAATTGAAAAACGGGCAAAAGATCCCAGCATTGGCCAAAAGCCCACGAGAAGATGCCCACCATCAGTGGTCACCGGGGAAACGCACACTAAAACCATGACGAGGTACATGATGCCCAAATGGAATGGCTAAAATGTGAGACAGCTGACCACCATGCCAAGTGCTGGTGAGAGTGAGAACAGTACCACAGAACACTGGACACATACCTCCACGTGCTCCAGCCGCCCCACTCCTGGGTGTGTGTCCAAGAGAAGGGCAGCAGATGCCCACACAAATATTTGCATGTGAACTAGAAACAACCCTCCACTCAGGTCTTTGCTCAAAGACACCTCTCACTCTCGCTTCCTCGTCCACATCACTCAGCACTCCGTGCCCTTGTCAATCTTTCATTTGGGGTCCGTCCTAGAACTGAAGCTACAGAAATTGTTTTGTTCAGGCTCTCAGTGCCGGAAAGCCCTCACGGAATCCCTGGGGTTGTTACTGGCCAAGGGGAGGCGATCACCAGGCAGCTACATGTTCAGGGCTGGAGCTCAGGGGACAGGCTGGTCTGGACATGGGATGTGGGCTCCGCCGGCTTGTGGTGAACACATACACCCCGGAAGTGCACAGGCTCCCCGGGGTGGCAGCGACCCAAGGCCTGCCCCTGGCACATGCCCCCATTCAGGGGCCAGAAGGAGGGGCCTGGAAAGGAGTTTGGGAGGGAGCATGGGGTCAAGAGTGCAAGAGCAGCAAGGGGCCCAGGGCAGAGGGCCAGCGGCGGCACCGAGCGAGCACCAGGAGGGAAGGCAGACGCCACCAACGCGCCAAGGAGGGCCCAGTGACTGCCAGTGTCTACAGGGCCCAAAAAGGCACCAGGACCAACTGGTAAGAGATGCCAGAAGGCAGGTTTTGGCTTGATGTATGAAAAACACTAGTAGGTAGATACGTTCACTTCCTTCTTACAACA